TAATATGATGACAGCTCTGATGGCCATTCCAAAACTGCTTGAAAGGGAGGACTAGGTACTGTCATCGGTGCATAGCTTCCCAAGGGGAATACTTCGAAGGTGACCATAGTGATATTCAGCAATGAGTATGTAGCACTTTTTCTAGGATTAGTTCGCAAACTTAATTGTCACACCTCATGTATATCAACAAATTGGACAATCTGGAAGAAATGGATATTCCTGGAAACATACAATGATCCAAGACTGAATCAAGAAAACAGAAAATCTAAAAAGACCAATTACTAGAATCGAAATCAAATCAGTAATCAAAAAACCCCAATAAACCAAAATCCTGGATCAGATGACTTCACAGATTAATTATACCATTATTCAAAGAAAAATTAACTCCTATTTTTCTCAAGATATTCTAAAAATCCAAGAGGAGGGAAGGCTCCCAAGCTCATTCTATGAGGCCACCATTACTCCAACTCCAAAACCAAACAAAGACATTACAAAAAGAGAAAACTATAAGCCAGTATCCTTGATGAACACAGATGTAAAAATCCTCAACAAAATATTAGCAAACTGAATTCAGCAATACATTAAAAAGATCATATATCATGATCAAGTGGAATTTATTCCTAGATACAAGGTTGATTCAATACCAGCAAATCATTATTATTAATACTATGATACACCATGTAAACAAAATGAAAAATAAAAATCATGATTATATTAATAGGTACAGAAAAAGTGATAAAATCCATCATCCATTTATTATAAAAACTTTCAGCAAAGTAGGAATAGAGGAAACATATCTCAACATAATAAATTCTATATATTACAAACTCACAGCTAACATATTCAACAGTGAGAAGCTAAAAGGCATTTTACTTAAGCTCAGGAACAAGACAAGGATGTCTACTTTCATCACTTTTATTCAACATAGTATTAGCAGTCCTAGCTACAGCACTGAGTCAAGAAAAATAAATAATAGGCATCCCAATTAAAAAGGAAAAACTAAAACTGTCATTATTTGCAGTTGACATGATACTATATAGAGAAAACCCTAAAGATTCCAACCAAAAATCTATTAGAACTGATAAATGGATTTAGTAAAATAGTAGGATACAAAATTAATATTCAAAAATCAGTTGCATTTTATACACCAATAATGAACTATCAGAAAGAGAAATTAAGAAAACAACCCCATTTACAACTGCATCAAATATATATATTTGATGCAGTTGTAAATGGGGTTGTATATATACGTGTGTATATATATATACATATATATAGATAGATAGATAGATAGATAGATAGATATCTAGGAATAAATTTAACCAAGGAAATAAAATACCTGTACTTGGAACCAATTTTAAGACATTGAAGAAAGAAATTCAAGAAGATACAAATAAATGAAAGCCTATACCATGCTCAAGGATAGGAACAATTAACATCATTAAAATGTCCATACTGCCCAAAGCAATCTATAGATTCAATGCAATCCTTATCAAAATATCAATGGAGTTTTTCACAGAACTAAAACAAAAAATCTTAAAATTTATATGAAACCACAAAAGTCCCTGAATAGCCACAGTAATCTTGAAAAAAAAAAGGACAAAGTTGTAAGTAACACTCTACCTGATATCAAACTATACTACAAGGGTATATTAATCAAAACAGCATAGTACTCGCATAAGAACAGACAAGTAGATCAATGGAACAGAATAGAGAGCCCAGAAATAAACCCACTCCTATATGTCATCTAATCTAGACAAAGGAGGCAAGATTATACAATACAAAAAAAGTTTACTCAACAACTGGTGTTGGGAAAACTGGACAAATATATGCAACAACAAAAAATGTAACTGGACCACCTTCTTGCACCATATACAAGAATAAACTCAAAATGGATTAAAGACTTTAATGTAAGACCCAAGACCATAAAATTCCTAGAAGAAAACATAGGCAGTAAACTTTTTGACATTGCTCTTAGTAGTTTTCTTTTTTTTTTTCTGATATATCTCCTCAGGCACAGGAAACACAAGAAAAACTAAACAAATGGGACTACATGAAACTAAAAAGTTTTTACACAGGAAAGGAAACCAACAAAATGAAAAGACAACCTACTGAATGGGAGAAGATATTCACCAATGACACATTTGACAAGGGGTTAAAATCCAAAATTTATAAAGAACTCATACAACTCAACCTCAGAACAATCAAGCACTCCAATTTAAAATGGGTAGAGGACTTGAATAGACATTTCATCAAAGAACATACAGATGGCCAATTGACATATGAAAAGATGGTCAATGTCACTAATCATCAGAGAAATGCAAATTAAAACCATAATGAGATATCACCTTACACCTGATAGAATGGCTACCACCAATAAATCAACAAACAACAAGTATTGATGAGGATGTGGAGAAAGGGGAACCCTCTTGCATAGTTGGTGGGATTGCAAATTGGTACAGTCACTGTAGAAAACAATTTGTGGAGATCCCTCAAAAATTAAAAATAGAACTACCTTATGACTCAGCAATTCCACTTCTGGGTATTTATTCAAAGAAATTCAAAATACTAATTCGAAAAGATATATGCACTGTATATTCACTGCAGCACTATTTACAATAGCCAAGATATGAAAGCAACCTAAGTGCCCATCAAGAGACAACTGGATAAAAAAGAAGTGGTACATATATGCAATGCAATGTTACTCAGCCATAAAAAGAAACAATCTTACCATTTGTGACAATATGGATGGACCGAGAGTATTATGCTAAGTGAAGTAAGTCAGACAGGGAAAGACAAATACCATATGATCTCACTTATATGTGGAATCTAAAGAACAAAATAAATGAATTTATAAAACAGAAACAGACTCAGATACAGAAAACAAACTGATGTTTTCCAGATGGCAGGAGGCTTAAGGGGGTTGGGTGAAAAAGATGAAGGGATTAAGAAGTACAAATTGGTAGTTAAAAAATAGTTATGGGGATGTAAAATAGAGCATAGAAATTATAGTCAATAATATTGTAATAACTATGCATAGTGCCATGTGGGTACTACACTAATCAAGGGAATCACTTCGTAAATTATATAAATGTCTTAATCACTATGCTGTATACCTGAAACTAATAGAAAATAATATTGAATGTCAACTGTAATTGAAAACAATAAGAGGGAAACAGTGGCATTATTTCATTTATTTCAAACCAGAACTCATATTGTGATAAATCATCTCAGTTAAGGTTATAATTATATGTAGAGTCTTTGGATATTTTCAGAGTTTTTATGAATTTTTAATCATAATAGTATTAATTTGTTTCACAGGGATAATTAATGATATATTCTTTCACAGAAAAGGCAAATGTAGCCTTCTCAAGACACCTACAGTGTTTTACCCCCATTACCCCACAATCACCACAAAAAAAAGAGTAGTTTTCTTTAAGTTTGGAAAATTCTATTAATTTAAAAACTGATACCCATCTTATGCTGAAAGTTTCACAAATTATCTAAAAAGGCTATTTCCAAGATGGAAAGCTATATTCTCTAGATTACTTATTTCACTCATAAATCCAAAAGTTTTGGATATTATTTTTCTTTATCTTACATTTTTTAATAATCTGTCAACACTTTATAAATTAGGAAAACTGAAAGCAGTCCCCTGTCTCAGAGTGGCATATTATGGGTTATTAGTATAATTAGAATAAATACTAGACTTTATAATCAACAGCTTACAAACTAACCCACATTCCTACAATTATTCTTGAAAGTCTAGCATAAACTAACTCTATTTATATAATTAATAAAAGTCTACAGTCAAAGCTGACACCAACCCCTTCACAAGAAGTAAGATGGAAATTTCAAGACCTTAGTTGCACTATTGTGGTGGAAAAAGAAAGGGAAGAGAAGAGAAGAGAAGAGAAGAGAAGAGAAGAGAAGAGAAGAGAAGAGAAGAGAAGAGAAGAGCAGAGCAGAGAGAAGAGGGAAGAGAAGGGAAGAGTAGTTACTGTGAAATAATAAGACATATATATTGATCTCTGCCCCTAGTTCCTGCTAATATTTGGTCTTTGGCCCTGGTACCTGACGCAGAGCTCCTAAAGCCCTTGGAATTTCCTGTGATAGGAATGTCTAATGTTCTAATGAGGTGGCTCTGGGTGGGCTCCTGGATGGGGGCTAGTCAATAGAAAGACCAAGCCATGATTAGAAGCTTAGAACTTTCAGCTCTATCCCCCATTCCCAGAGGAGAGAGAGCTAGAAATTGAATTAATAATTGATCATGCCTATATAATGAAGCCTCCATAAAATTCCTAAAAGTAAGGGGTTCAGAGAGCTTCCAGTTTAGTGAACACATCCACATTCCAGGAGGATGGTACACCCCGACTCCACTGGCACAGAATCTTCTGCACGTAGTACCCTTCCAGACCTTGACCTGGCTGGGTGAAAAAGGTGAAGGGATCAAACTGGTAGTTACAAACCAGTTATGAGAATATAAAGTACAGCATTGGAAATATAGTCAATAATATTGCAATAACTATGTATAGTGCCAGGATACTAGATTAATATACATCCTTTATCATATACTTTATTGTATAATAAAATGGTAAACGTAGGTGTTTCTGTGAGTTCTGTGAGCTGTTCTAGCAAATCTCTGCACCCAAGAGGAGGTTGCGGGAACCCCAATTTATAGCCAGTTGGTCAGGAGTGCTAGGAACAACCTAAGACTGGTGATTGACATCTGAAGGGGCAGCAGTCTTGTGGCACTGTGCCCTTAATTTGTGGGATATGATGCTAACTCAAGGTAGATGGTGTCAGAATTGAATTGACTTGTAGGACGCCCAGCTAGTCTCAGAGTACTGATCAGCGTAGGAATAAGCCCATCCATCGAGTGTCAGCAGTACTGTGAGAATGGTAGTGGTGTGAGAGTAAAGGAATATAATGTGTCTTTCTAGATAGTAACATACAGGGAGCTGCACATATTCCCCCAAAAAAACAAATTATGATCTTACCTGCATAGTTTGGAAGGAAAAATCTTCCTGTAAGAACTTCTTAACATGAGGGACCACACCTTTTGGTAGAGTATTAATTGCATTCAATAACTTCTTCACCTCTAATAGTAGGTTAACAGGAACAAGATCAGTAGGTGTGTCCTTTTCCTGTTTGTCCTAAAAGACATTATTAAAAACTTACACAGTTATATTTGGCTAATATTAAAACCTGCCATTTTATACTTTAATGAAATATTCTTTATTAAAAAAACAAAACAAAACCCAAAGTGCCTTTACATAGTATACGTAGATCATTGTGAGCAACTACAGAAAATCCAAATAAGAATAAGGCATTCTCTCTGCTCTCAAGGAACTTATAACATAGCAGGAAGTTTAAGACCAAAACTCAAGAAGCTTTAATACAGGGAATGCCATTATAAATGCATTTGAAAATTTTAAATAGAGAGTCAAAGATGAGAATAATTACATGTTTTGTTTGTTTGCTTGTTTGTTTTTAGCTGAGCCATCCTGACACTGTTGGCAGCTCAGCAGCAGCTAGCTCGGGCTGGGACTTGAACCGGTGACCCTGTTGCTCTGAGCTCACACTCTCTTTTTTTTTTTTAAAGATTTTTATTGGGGAATTGGGAATGGGAACAGCGCTGGGGAATTAGGGGCAGGGGAACAGACAAGTTGCTGTCGTTTTGTTCTTCAGTCTAGTTGTGGAGGACGTTGCTTCACTGGCCCATGTCACCATCATTGTGCTCTTCCCAGGTGAGGCAGATCAGTCGCCGGCTTCTGGACGGCCGCTCACTGCAGCTGCTGGCCGCTCACACTGGCTGCTGGCCACACATGGTAGCCCATGACAACCCACCTGCCGTTGCCGGCGACTCACGACAGCCCAGCTCCAGGTCGAGCCATTGTTCAGCATCTTAGCTGCAGAGGGCAGCATCACTGGCCCTCATATGTGGGATCCAAACTGGGGCCCTCTGGCATAACAAACGCGCCACTTGGCTGGCCCTGAGCTCACACTCTTGAGCGAGCTCTTAATCAACTGAGACACTCGGCCGGCCCTATTAATTATACTTTTTTTGTTTGTTTTTTGCAGGGTAGTGGGATAGGAAACATGAACAATTTTAGGCTTAAATGTGAATTAGGCCTTAAAAAATTGTTGCTCTTTAAAAATATACATCATGTATTAAATTGATGGCCCATTTAAATATGTTGTTTAAAATTGTACATAGATTATTCTACATAGTAATAGAAAAACTACTTCCAAGAGTGTTTTTTACATTAGTTGTGAGGAATGGGTGGCAGTAAACATGGATAAAAGTTCTGGAACAGATGGATGATGGCCTTCCTTCAAACTTTAACAAGATACCAGAGTTCCTATACCCTGTTAAAACTTTGGGAATCTGAGTATTTTGCTGCTGACCTCTGAATATCAGAACAGCTTCTTACGGCAGAGGCCATTAGAAACTGAGTCACTGAAAAATACCCTGTTGTGAGGTGATTCGGGCTGTAACTGGAAACCAATAAAGTCCATTGCAGGACTATCTGCCTACTCTCCCCTTCCGGGTTCGAGTCTTAAATTAAAATTCCTCCAGCTCCAACAATACCCAACAAATAAACTTCACATTGTATAGTACTTCATTATATGAAAATTATACCCCAAAATATAGAAAAATGTTAAAAACTTGCTAAATCTCAGTGAAGGGTATATAAGTTTCGTTGTACTATTCTTGAAACTTTTCTATAGATTTGAAATTTCTCAAAAAGGTAAAAAAAAAAAAAAATTTCCATAAAGTAACTAGACAAGCCCTCATAAAGAATGACCACTGTCAGTGGTACATTTATTTCAAACTAAAGGTCAATTCTGCAGTCAAAATTTACTGCAGAATCATCTAACACTAATTACCAAATTGAACACAAGCAAGATTATAGCACGAATAATTTTTTTTTCAATGAGAAATATTATAAGCTTCATGCTTGTTAAATATATCTTATTGTAAATACAATTTTAATTTTTTAAAGTTAGTTATCAAAATATTTGATGCTCAATCCATTTTGCAAAATTTATTTAGCATCTAAATCAAATTCAGGTCTAAGTTTCCACTTCCCCTGCCCTCTGTATTCCCAAATCCATATCTAGAAACATCTTTTCTGGATCAAATCCCCCTGGTTCAACTGTACATCCCTATGTACATTTACACATATCGTGTTACCTCTGCAAAATTTTTTTATGGTAATAACCACATGCAAGTGAATATTATGGCTAATTTATGTCTATATATTTTCTCTTCTTAAGTTACTGGGTAACCTATTAATAAGTAAACATCAATCGTTCTATAAAACTATGTAGACCACGCTGCTAAGACCAGGAGACATAACACCTCTACCTGATACATAGAAACAAACACAGAGAGGAAGCCAAAATGGGGAGACAAGGAACCTGTCTCAATTAAAAGAACAGAACAAAGCTCCAGAAAAAGAACTAAACAAAATGTAGACAAGCAATCTACCAGATGCAGACTTCAAAACACTACTCACTCATAAGGATGCTCAATGATCTCAGGGAGAACTTCAACAAAGAGATAGGAAACATACAAATGGAAATAGAAAACATATAAAAGAACCAGTCAGAAATAAAGAATACAGTAACAGAAATGAAGAATATATTAGAGGAAACCAACAGTAGATTAGATGAAGCAAAGGATCAAATCAACAATTTCGAAGATAAGGTAGCAGAAAACACCAATTATAACAGCAAAAAGAATAAAAGAATAAAAAATTTTAAAAAAATGAGGAGAGTTTAAGGGGCCCCTGGGCCAACATCAAGCACACCAACATTTGCATCATAGGGGTACCAGAAGGAGAAGAGAGAGAGCAAGGAATTAAAAACCTACTTGAAAAAATAATGATGACGTGAAATCTAAAGAACAAAATGAACCAACCAACAAAACAGAAACAGATTCATAGATGCAGAGAACAAACTGATGGGTAGCAGAGGGGACAGAGTTTCGGGAGCTGGGTGAAAAAGGTGAAGGGATTAAGAAGTATAAATTGGGGGCCGGCAGAGTGGCTCAGTTGGTTAAGAGTGCGAGCTCTGAGCAACAGGGTTGCCAGTTTGATTCCCACATAGGGCCAGTGAGCTGTGCCTGAGCTGCCAATAGGTGCCAGAATGGCTAGCTGGTGAGAGCACATGCTCCTAACAACAAGGTTGCCGGTTCAACTCCCGCATGGGATAGTGGGCTACGCCCACCCGCAACTAAGATTGAACACGACACCTTGAGCTGAGCACTCTGAGCTGCCAACAGGCAAACGGACTTGGAGCTGAGCTAGCTGCACCCTCCACAACTAAGATTGAAGGACAACAACTTGGCTGTTTCCCTTCCCCCATTTCCCAACACTGTTCCCCTTCCCCAATTCCTCAATAAAATCTTAAAAAAAAAAAAGAAGTATAAATTGGTAGTTACAAAATAGTCATGGGGATATAAAGTAAATCATAGGGAATATAGTCAATAAAATGGTAATAATTATGTATGGTGCGAAGCGGGTACTAGACTAGTCAGGGGTATCACTTCATAAATTATATAAATGTCTAGCCACTGTGCTGTATACCAGAAAGTAATAAAAAATAATAGTGAATGTCAACTGTAATTAAAAAATAAAAGTTACCTGAAACTAATAAAATAAAATAAAGAAAAATTAATAAAAGGGGGAAAAAGGGTGAAGGGGAATAAGAAGGTCCAAATTCCCAGGTATAAAACAAATAAGTCATGGGGATGTAATGTACAGCATAGGGAATGTAGTCAACAATATTATGGGAGCATGTAGGGCATAAGATGGTTCCTGGACTTTTGGTGATGATCAATTCTTTAGGTATATAAATGTTGAATAACTATGATGTGTACCTGAAACTAATATAATACTGTATGTTAGCTATATTTTAATAAAAATATTTTTAAAAGATTTAATTATGACCCTAATTTTACTTATTAAGGTTGAAAGAAAACTTACCCCCAAATTTTTAACAAATAAACTGATTAGATACAGCATTATATTATCTACATAGTTACTCATTATTAATTAACAGTTAATGAAAATTAAATCTTCTCTTACCAGTTGATCAGTTGATTTTTCCACCTTATCCTCGACTTCCTCCTTAGTCTGCTCCCTGACAGGAGGATCCCTAATTTAAATGAAAAAGAAAGGTGTATTCAGAGCACCTCCCTACAAAGAACATAATTCAACTGCAGTAGTAAAGAATCTAACAGGTGAATTTTTGTCTGAAAATTTCAGAAGTGTACACACTGTGTTATCTAAGACCGATAACAGTGGTAGCTGTCATTTCTCTTTATGGACACAAAGAAATTATTCTATGCCTTTATTATCTGGTGGTAGAGAGAACAGAAAGCTGATATGAAAAACTTTTCATCTTTAAACAGACACACAACAGACCAAAACAATGGGGGAAAAATTAACTTTATAGCACTGTTTCAATGCAAAAAAAAAAAAAAAAAAGGTTCTTGAAAAGGTTAATACTTTTGTTTTGTGTGTGTAGGGTGTGTGTGTTTATAAAGACAATAAAGGTTTGGAAAGGATCTACCTTACATAGATAATTTTATTTTTCGTTCCAGGTACCTGGCCTTACTATTGACCAGTTATCCAAAATAATTTTTTTAATTGAGGCAGAGTATCATATTAGGAATTATCAACTATTTTTGTAAAAAATAATAATTTAATAAGTTTAGTTTTTGACATTGGCTTGAAATGTAAACATATGCAGTGTTATATACTAAACTGAATTTTTTATTTATAAAATTGCTTTTGCCTACATATAAAACCATGACACTGGACTCAAAATATAAGAACCATAACATAGGATCATATATGATTTATATGATCTTACTTTGATATACTTGCAGAGATAAAACTGAGGTGAGAATTGATTTATTCAGAATTATACTTTATAAATATTATCCCAATTTACTTCACATTTATGTACTCATTTGACAGACAATCATTTATCATCCACTATGTGCAAACTGATATTCTGAGGGGAAACTGGGACAGATAAACAGTATAGTATTATCCATACATTGAAAGTTTCAACAAAAGATGATTTACACACATAAACAGTATTTCACAATATGATTCTCAGTGCTCTTTAAAATGTCATGGAAAAGAAAAACCTGTTTGTTTGGTACCTTTTCATCTATTTCTAAGCCCCCTTGTGTTATTAACCAATGGAAAATATTGCAGCAGTATTCTAAAGTGGAGAAACAGCATACAAAATGGTCTGAAATGTACTCTACTTGCTTATTCTATGTAATCATCATTCACTTCTTAATCCAATAGTTCTCAGTCTCGGATGCGTATTAAAAGCACCTGTGAAGCTTTTGAAACATGCAGATGTACAAACTCCACTTCAGAGTTTCTTAATCAAATGTGCAGGATGTGAGGTGCTATATTTTTCATGAGTTCCATAACAAATTTTGATGCATAATCCTCACTTGCTCCACAACATTAAAACTGCTCTTTAAAGGTTACTCATAAAATCATATTTGCTATTCCAACAGCTTTGTCTTAGCTCTTATTCTACCTGGCCTTTCTGTATCATTTAACATTGTCCGTCATACCCTCCAACCTTCCTTGAAAACCTCTGCATTTTGCGACTGCTGGTTCTTCCCTAGACTTTCCAGCTATCTAGTCTCCTTTTGTACCATTGGCTATCCCTCTTCCTCTCATTCATTTTATTCATTTATTATTGTAAGAACATGTAATATAGAACTGTATACATTAACACTATCAAACCATGCTCCTGGTATGTAAGAACAGGAAGATATATCAGTAGTCATATATGGCAGACACTTTATTCTATAGATGGGTACATCGATGTCCAGAGATTATATAACCTGTTTTAAGTTACATACCTAAAAAGTAGCAAAGTTAAAATTAGACACCAGACTAGTACTTTTCTTTTGCTATTCTGCTACTTTTATCCCCTGCATACTTTGTTCTGCTGCTGGGAGAAGCTGAAGTTTTGCCATAACAATATATTCTGAAATATACATAGTATACCACTAATGTTCCACTTGTAGCCCTCTATTTTTCTTACTGCATTTTCTACTTAAACCAATCTCATTTATACTCATGTATAAACACTCTCTGATAGGGATCAGGTCCTACTTATTCATTACCTCACCTTCAAGTATCTAGCCCAACATCTGACATAAAGTAGGCACTCAAATATTTATTGAATTAATCAATATAAAAAATAAATGTTAGCAAACTTCCATGAACTCAAATAGCACCTATTCTAACTTTTTTTTTTTTTTTTTTTAGCTGAGCCATCCTGCCACCTGTTGGCAGCTCAGCGGCAACTCAGCTCGGGCCGGGCACCGAACCACTGTTGCTCAGAGCTCAAACTCTTGAGCGAGCTCTTAACCAACTGAGCCACTTGGCCGGCCCCTAGCACCTTTTCTAATGATCCCCAAATCTGTATCTCCAGCTTTAATTGCTCTTTGATGCTACAGCTATACATTTCCAAACACCTGCTCGACAACCACAATGATATCTTAGCAGCACCTCAATCTCCTTGTGTCCCAAACTGAACCAGTTATCTGTCCTCTCTTTCTTTCTCACACGCACATTAAACCTGTCTCCTTTTGAGATCCCCATATGAGCTAATGGTACATATTTCCTTCTGGTCATTAGAAACCTTTGAGCCATTTCTACTTCTCTTAGTCATAAAATTCTGCTGATTCTAGTTTTATAAATCCTCACTTTCTTACTATTTTCTATTCCTACTAGTACAAGGCTTCATTAGCTTCTTTTTAAGGTATTACAAGTGTATCTTGTCATTCTACTAATTCCCACCATCAATAGAGGTAGTTTTTCCAAAATACAGTGAAAAATTTCATTTTCTTAAAATGTCAATGGCTCTGCACAAAATAAAGCTATATATTCCTTAGCAGGACAGTCAAAATCGTCCCCAAGAATTTGTCTGAAGTACTTTTTTGTGTCGTTTCCTCAGCCAAATGACTTCCTGACTGTTCTACTTCTACACCCATCAAAATGCTTTTGATCCATTAAAGTTCAGTTCAAACATCACCTTTTTGAAACCCACTCAACCCCAGTCAATAATTATTGCTTTTTATTTAGTCACAATATCTCTAATATAATACTTATGTATGCATTTCTCCTAAATGCAACTTTTTATATATCTTCCTACTACATTACAATTCTAAGTACACAAATTTTGTATTAGTCGTTATTCCCTAAGTACCAAGGCGGTCAATAAATGCTTGTAAAATAAATTAATAGATCACATTGCTTATTATATGAGAAAGCTGAAGGTGGGAGGGAGATCTCCAATACTAACCTATTGTTTAGTATTATATCAGAGGGGTACAGACATACAGACAGGCTGAACTTGCCCTGATTGGAGGGGAGAGTTGAACATTTAGCCTGAGCCCAGTTGAACCACTTAGTAGAGTCTTCTGTGTGATGCTTAGTTTACCTTCTATAAAATGAGAATAATAATAGCATCCACCTCTTAGAGTTGTTATAAGGTTTATGTAAGTAGAAATTTGTAAAAGCTTTTAAAACAATGCCTGACAAAGAGTAAGTCTATGTAAGTACTTGTTAAATGATGAATAAAACATCATTTTGTTAAGAATATCCCAAGTGTAACACGCTGTGGTACATTTTTCAATTCTTGGCTCTTTAGTCAGTGTGCAGTCCTTAATGAAATTTTCTAAAATTAGATTTCACTCAGGCTACATCCCCCACTAACCAAAGTTGCTAAATTGTCTTGAAATATAAGGGTATCTCATTCATACTAACTTCCCAGGGTTATATGGAAGAGACAAATGTTGTGTCTTCAGAATGCAACAAATGGAATTGGCTTTTGTCAATCCATCCCTTACCTCACAAAAAATTCTTCCGATAGAGAATCCATTATGCACAGTGTTCTTTGGCAAAAGTCGTACTCCAATACTTGTAGACTGACTTTTACTACTGCTGTTTAAAGCTGTAAGGAAAGTGATATGTTTAGTGGAAATATAGAAAGATTACATTCTTTCTCCCTACCATATAAAGAGTACATGATCATTTAAGAAAATTTTGGAACTGCTACAAAAGAAAATGAAAACAGATAGTTTCATTATCCAAACACAAATCACTACTTACCTTTCAATATACTTAACTTTACCAAGTACAGGTGTATTTTACCAATTTGATCAAATTGAATAAACAATGCTCTACACCATCTTTTTTACCACTGAACACTATTCTTTCATGTTATTTTATACTTCCAGTAAACACTTTCAATGGCTGCATAACAATTGGTTCACTGGGGTTCCCTTGACCATTTCCCTATAGTTGGACATTTAGATTCTCATTGTTTTATTATAAATAATTGGTATTTTAATAAACTCCACTGTCTATAAGCCCTTCTCTATATTTATGATTATTTCCTTATGAATTCTCAGGAGAATTCCTAGCTCAAAAACACATATTTTTAAGCCCTTTGGTGTATATTGCCAAACAGCTCCTGAAAAGGTTTGTACTAATTTATTTCCCATAGAAGTATAAGTGCTCCTGTTTAACTCAATCTTGATAGCACTAATTGTTTTATTTTATTTTAGTCTAAAAAGACTATTTAGCCACTTTTTTTCCAAAGTCGTATGATTGTATATCTCCATAAAATAGGAGAGGTGGGGGTGTGTAAAAAACTATTGCATATTATCTGGTTCTAATATCAATACACGTTGTGGATGTTTCCAGAAATTAAAAAAAAAAATACTGAGGCCACACAAATGAAAACAAATAGGGGAATAGACTATCATTAGTATATCTATTTGTTAAATAGCTCTCTATTTAACTATCCCAAACCAACTCTTCTCAATTTAGTCCTGTATGTTTTCTCTTTTACTGAGAGTTCAAGCCTCCAGACTCCATTGCCCTCTGCTAGGCTGACTTCCCTTTCCCATCCAACTATACAGAGGTCCAGAAATTGTTAGAGCAAACATGTAAAACTACTGCTCAGTGCTTTGGGGCAAAGAAAGAAACGAGGAAAAAAAGAAAAGAATACCTCAGCAATAACAATAACACAAATAAAGCAGGCTTAGAGTACCTTGGGCTTGCTGCCAAGCCCAAGACTGGGTAATTTCTCATTTGTTGCCTCTGGACTGCTTATTTATCTCAGCAACTGGTTAGCCAGTTTCTCTAATAGCATATTTAATATACACCCATAAATTAGATGGGTAGAGCATTTGGAGGCCCATTACTAAATGGCAATTCAGCATGGGTTATTCCCAAATCAAGAAAACATGTTACACAAGTTCATTTGTAAACCACCTATTAAGAATTCAGATTGTATTCACTCAAAAAACATCATTTTACGTGAGGTCATATTTCCCCGAAAACAAAAAACAAACAAACAAAAAAGACAATAGGAAGAAGGAACTGTAGGGCCTGAACCCTCCTAAGCCTTGAGGTCTGAGTATCCTGTCAGTGATTAGCTTATCTGAGAGGGGACAACTCAGTTCCTGGTCTAAAGGCTAAAAGAAGTCCTGCAAGACCATCTATCTGCAAAATAATTATTCCTAATTATTATACCACCTATATTCTGTATGTGACTCACACCAGCTCTAATTTACGCAGAAAATATTGAGAGACAAAGGCAATTCTCCAACAATTCAATGCTAGCTAATAATTCTTAATCAAAACACAAATGTAAAGGTTTACACACAGGTTGATATTCGCCTAAATTTTAAGACATAGCTTTCTAACACTCTTAATTTCTTGCCCATCCCTAACAAAACACTTTTGCTGTCAGTATAACTTACATATGCAGAATCTAGTTCTCCTAGATAATTTCATTTTAGTTTTATTCTTATTTTAAAAACTCAGTAAGCAAAGTCATACGCTTATTTAAAATTGCACTATTAAATTACCAATGAAAGATACAACCTAAAGCTAACAATGAAGCAGAAAGAGGTTGGATAAATCTTGTTATTCTTTCAAAATAAATCAGATCTGTTCATCTCTTTAATAAAGCTGTATAGAAAAGGAGATGATTTGGGGGAATTTTAGGATTGTGATCAAACTGTTTTTCTTTTATGATTTCTATAACCTCCCTGGTTATTTTAATAAAAAGCAACAGGCATTGCTTCATAGACAGAACATACAAACGTAAGCCTTTTCTAGACAAAACAATCCCCTCGTCTCCAGAATTTAAAAGCTCAGACGTGGATACCATTCTGATAAGCTTCCCTTCAGTCAGTAGATGTTTGTACAGATAACAGGGAGGCTAAAAAGAAGGGAAGCAAATCCTCTGGCAACAAGGTAGAAAGAGGATGGAAGGTAAGCTATCTAGTGTTCAGCTTGAAAAAAAAAGGGGGTATAAAATCAATCAATCAGAAGATATTTGGATAGTGAATTAAGAGTTTTAAAAAGCTAATGGCTTTCTTTTTCAACCTGCTTAAAAATACAACCTGAGATGAATCTCTGTGATGAAAGGTTTTCCAGGAGAGAGGATCATCAATCCCATCGTTTCCCTGGAGCTGAGCAGGTATGTGTGTCAAAACCTACCAGCGGCAGCAGCAGTACTTTACAGCCTCTGTGGGGAGGGAAGGCATAAGTGCCTAGCAACAGAAAGGAAGTAGCCAGTCTGAAACATTACCACTGTACTTCTAAAATAATCCAAAGGTTCTTACCATTCTAGGTGCTAAAGAAAACCTTTAAAATCAGGCTTAACATGGGAGAATGGGTGAATCTGGTTTCCCCTGGTATATTCATTTCAGTAGACTTCCCCTATCAGCACGAAACTAAAAACTGACTTTCTTCCTGGAACTGAGGAACTGTTCTGCTGGAACCTATTCGGGCTCTGGCTGGTGGACCAGAGGGCAAGCTGAAGTTCAGTGTCGTTTACCGCATACCTTTATCCACAACCAAAATGATTTTATTTGCAGGCTATTTGAAAAATAAGGCATTGCCACCCATATCTTGATAACAACAGTAAAACCCCTTTCTTGCTGCTCTCTCTGAGTTCCCAGCTCCCACTTTGCATCTTATCTACTGAAATTATAACAAACATTTTAATTGTAAAAAGGTTTTTCCCCCATTTTTAAAGCTGTGCTTATTCATATCAAAGTAGGCACAGCTCGTTTATATATTTTTTAATCTTTCATTTAAACGCTTACCTTGTAGTATTCCTATCACCTCCCTATATTTTATATAATGGGCACACTGTTTTTAAATCCACGCAAATGCTCATCACCTGACCAATTTAGAGTCAGGTGATGGATTAGCCAAAAAGTTTATATTTCCATGGGTGGATGGCCCAAGACTGCCACGCTTGTCAGCTCTGGCACTTTACAGATCATCAATGCCAAGTAGAAAAGTGAATATCAATGTAAAGAATAGAAAGAACAAAACTTTACTTTTCTCAATACTATGAACTTGAAAACAAAATAATATACTTGGTATTTTTCAAAACAGGAGTTCAGTTATTGAGAATTTTTCAAATGCCCACCAACTCAGGGTTTCTCTATCTTGACACTATTGATATTTTGGACTGGATAAATCTTATAGGAAGTTGTCCTATGCATTTTTAGAATGTTTATAAGTATCCCTGGTCTCAACCCAGTAGATGCCAATAGCAACTCTCTCCCATCTCTCAGCCCCATTGTGGCAACCAAAAATGTCTCCAAACATTGCCAAATGTCCCCTGGGCACTAACTTGTCCCCAGTTGAGAACTACCTAACTAAATCTGTTAAAATAAAAAGGTTAATTAGATAAACATAGATTGTTCTCAGGAAGAAAAATAAGACCATCCTGATATAATGCAGCATGTACAAACACAAACAATAAATCGCTTATCTACAAGAGAAATGACATAAAGTACCTCATTTAGATTTCCATCAATGTCAAAATTAAGTTGAGAGGTTGCATAGCATTACATAGTTAAGAGCACAGAAACATTGGACTCAGTCTGGAAGGATATATAGGCCTGCTTTAACACACACTAACTGTGCAACCTGTGTAAATTAATTAACATCTCTGTGCCTCAGTTTCCTCATCTGAAAAATGGGGATAAGGATGGTACTTGCTTCATAGAGTTGTCATAGAGTTGTTTCAAGTGTTTAAAACATGCAATAGTAAGTGGCACATAGTAAGCACTACGTAAGTGTTCCTATCATCACCATCATTTCATTTTGTTTAAATTTGCAGAAAAATTAGTTCACTTTTCTTCTAATTCTCTACCTTGATAGAGAAATGATACAGAAAGGAATGGTAATAATGATACTTAAGAGCTGGGACACAAAATCATTATTTTTCAAATATATACCATATGGCACAAATGGCAGCTTAGTTTTGTATGTTTGGTACCTTGCATTTTTCACATCAGCACATATACATCAGCCATATTCTTTAAACTGCACAATATGCCACTGTATACATGTATCATTTTTCCTGACCCTATTGATAAAGATTTTAACTGTCTCCAGTTGATTTGTTTGGATATCACAAACAATGCTGCAATTAACAACCTCGGAACCTGCAACTTGATAAAATTTTATAGCTATTTTAAAGAGCTGGATTTACGACGTCAACATGAAATGTACTCAAGAAGTTCATGGGTCTACTAATAACACAAACTCTGATAGTGATATTATAATTATCACTTCAGCTAGATTTTACCAAAAGAATTCCAAAGCCTCCTTAAAGTTGATGTGAGATATTTGGCCACTTTAAGACTAAAAAATATGAAGAGGACATTTTTTAGGAATAAGTCAACACATTTGTTTTGTTTTGGTTTTTTTAGCTGAGCCGTCCTGCCACCTGTTGGCAGCTTAGCTGCAGCTCAGCTGGGGCCAGGAATCGAACCAGTGACCCTGTTGCTCTGAGCTCGCACTCTTGAGTGAACTCTTAACCAACTGAACCACTCGGCCGGCCCAAGTCAACACATTTGTGATGGGAGTTCCTTAGAACCAAAATTGTAACTATTATTTATCTGATTATGT